CAAGATTAAGAGTTTAGAAATAAGAACTAGTTAACAATTGGCTCTGGATAGCTTCCTTGAATCTTGGCACAACTCTTGAGCACTTGAAATCTTAAAGAGAGAAAACTATGTACAAGATTAATAGAATGAGAGATATATTTTACAATGAATTCCCATCTTTTTATATAGACTTCTTGGGAGAGAACTTCCACATTGTTTACGGAATAAATTTCACCTTGTTTAGGGAATAAAGTTCTCATTAGCCCTTGAATTTCTCAATAAAGTTCTCATTAGGCCTTAAATTTCTCTCAATCATGTCTCTTCCATGTGCAAAGATTAGAACTTGATTTGCATGTCAAGAAAGTATCCAAGGTGAGCTCATGAAAATAATAAGGAATGATTGGAAATTTTGACTCAAATCAGCACTTGGTATTTAGCACGGACGTGCTGGGAAGCACGGTCTGGGCGTGCCAAGTTCTGAGTCTATGGGGAGTTCAGCATGGGCCGTGCTTAGAGGCACGCTTGGATAAGGGCTTGTGGCACGGGCGTGCTAGGGAGCACGGCTGGGCTTGCTAGGCTCTGAGTCTCCACTTAATTTTCCTTGATTCGAGCACGAGCATGCTGATGTGCACAGCTTGGGTGTGCTAGAGCCTAAATGTTTTGCTTTATTTTGCTCTTTTCTGGCGCAAAACCGAACAAATTTCTATAATACCAAGTGAATTATGATTCAAGGAAGCTTTTATATGAAAATATAAATAAAATTAAGATAAAAACTAAATAAAGTAATTAAAAATAAATAAAATTAAGATAAAAACTAAATAAAGTAATTAAAAATACTAAAAACTCCTAATAAAACTATATTGAAAATACTATAAAAATAACACTATCAATAAACAGACAAATCTTGTTTCTATTTTAATTTTATTTTATTTTGTTTGTGTATTTATTTTTATATCTGAGCCGAAAATAATATTCGGAAAAATTCTTTCTAATAATGGTAACTTCGGGTTTCAAACCCTGAGTTTATAAATAAAATTTACTTGAAAATGCAGTTCACTTCAACCGATGAAATGGACAATTACGTTTTTATATAATTTGACAAATTAAATTAAACCAAAAATGACAACCAGTGACATTAACGAAACCCTGCTATAGAATCCAACCCTGCTATAGAATCCATTGTATTAAGTTAAAAAAAAAAAGGATGTGGTCATGTATTCAATTTTTAAAACTAAGCCAACAATAATTGACAATAATCACAATTATATAGTTAATTGTTGGTTGAATCTGTGTATCATGTTTTAGAAAAAATGGAAAGCTTTTTGATTATTGGAGTGGAGGTGGCTATTTGCCACATTCAATTAAATATAGTCAAACTTTTAAGATCTTGATGTTTGCTTGCCATCATTACACAATTGAAGCTTATGGTGGTCTACAATTGAAGCTTATGGTGGTCTTCCTCTTTCATTTGATTCCTTTGAATGTGAGATTATTTCTTTTTAATTCTTTTGAAGACTAATGGAAATTGCTCTCTAATTCTGTGAACAAATAATTAACCATTGGATTAGGTGAAAGAAAAGTGAAGATTGTTAATCAATAGTTAACCATTATTGAATCCGACCACCTATTATTCAGTTACTTTATCAGCTGTTTACTAGCTAATTAGGTATTTTATTTTAGTTAGTGATAGAAGTAAAAGAGAGAGTATTCAGAATATTGTTATTGGATGTAATGTGTCCTTTGATGGGATATGATACAAATATTTATAGTACGTTTCGTATTCTAAACAAAAAGATAAATGTCGAGCAAAAATTCCGATCATAAATGCCGAGCAAAAATCATGAGCATTAATTACATAATTGAATAAATCTTTAACTGATTGTTACTCCATTTACGTCAATTTGAATAACTCTCAGTCAATTCTTAATAATTATTCATATCACTTAGTATTTTTGAAAATCTAAATCGGATTGCTTGGTTTAGATTTTGGACAGCCCCAATATTAATAGAGATAAGAATGATTAAATTTTTTGAGATTGCTACATTTTTTGGGTTTTCCTCCTTGAGGCGGGGGCTGTGATGAATACAAATGTTATTTATCGTTAGAGTTCAATTGTACCGAGTTGATGTGATGGCATTGTTTGGTTTTCAAGCTGGATTGGGTTCTTGTAATGCCCTATAGGCTGAATCATAGGCATTGTTTATGCTCTTTAGATTGATTAGGATCGTGTGTTGAGAGTGAACAACTTAGTAGAGAGATGCAGGGCTACGTTAAAATAGGAAATGACAAGTTTCAGTGCTTAAGATTGATTGGGACCACTAACAAAATTTTTTTTCAACTTTTACTTATTCTTTGTATTGATATAATTTTATCAAAGTGGATTTGGAATTCATATAATACTAAAAGTTAATTATATCCTGAACATTTTAATTCTCCAAGCCTCACTAAGGTTGTGTTCGCCAACAGCTTTTTAAGTAGATTTTAGCGTTTTGATTTAAACATTATTTTTTGTAGTGTTTAATAACATAAGATTTGAAATACATTTTAGAGATTAAGATAGCATTTTATGAAAAGTTAATCATGTGATGTTTAGCCTATTAGTTACTAAAACAATTAATAGCTACAAAAATACCTAATTTTTACTAAAACAATTAATAGCTACAAAAATACCTAATTTTGCAGAACAAACCCTAAGTCAGGTTGATTCACAAATTTATAGTCCTAAATAAAATTCAAATTTATTTTTCGTTCCAAAAAATCACTTTCATAATCACAAAATCTCGCATTTGATTCTCAATTAAAACCAAACTAATAAAAAAATAAATAGTTTTGGCAAGAGAAATCATTATTCCAACTTCAATCCATGAATCGGGATTTTTTTTTTCACACATCTTTTCACATTTAAGTGATGGGTTTTGGATAATATTTAAGTAAAATTCTCTTAATAATTACACTTTTAGATTTCGAACATCACATCTTACGAGTAAAGTTTGTCTGAGAACAAAATTCATTTCCATGCATCCAAGTGCCTATTAATAGTTAATTTTAACAAAAATGGTAGTTAGGATTTAAATTTTGGCATCTCCTCCATTATAAGTTTATAACACAAAATTAATCACTGGAGAATTGAGAACTGCTTATAAATTACTATTCCTGAAAATGCTTTTGGAACTCAATTGTGTAGCTAATTATTTAAAATGATAAAAATATTTTTTAATTTATATTTGGTGTAAGAAAATTAAAAAAAAAGAAAAAAGAAAAAACAATGACATGTTCAAAGGAAACCGCTATTTCAAAGAATCTTCCCTAAGCGGGTGAGTCAATTACTTCCATTTCTTGCTTTAATTCTCTTCTCTCTGCTCTATATATCTATTGCCTTGTTATGTTAGATTTTTCCCTCACTAGCCTATATTACATTACATGTCTTTTTTTTTTTTTTTATGGGTTTGATCTTATTTGAAATCGTCTTTTCTGTTCTCAGGCTGTAGCATTATATATATATGCTTATCTACCAATTGCTTCTGTTAATATCTGTTATTTCCTTGGCTTATGTACTTGTTGTTGATTTGTCATTCTTTTAGGCTTAATCATTCAAAAATATTCACCAACCAGTTTTATAATTTTTACCTGAATTGTATTCACCAACCAGTTTTATAATTTTTACCTGAATTGTGTTCATCTGAATCTATTCAACATAGGACAGTTTAGATGATATCTAAAAGGAACTCCAACGGATTGTGGATTGTGAATTGTGGCTTATCTAATTACCAAATCAGAAAAATGGACAATTGAATAACAATATTTTTTCCGATGCTACTGTCTATTCAATTTGTTAAGTTGACGTGTAAAAAAAAAAAAATGAAGACACTGTGAACCACACCCTCTACTTTCAGAAGGTCTGTTAGACAGTGTGACTCAACTATTTCATTCGTTTTTTTCAGTGACTTAGCTATTTAATTCTTTTTTTACTATTAATTTTATTTTCTTTTTCTACCATCTTCTCTCGCGCTAAAACTTCTCATGCTCAACTTATTTTCTTTTATTTTAATTAGATATAATTTTAAAAAAATAATACACATCATGCTCAACTTATTTTCTTTTTCAACTTCAATATTCACAAATAGACTTATAGCCACATCGCTGTTAACGTCTTCTATTTAATATGTCATATAAGTCAGAACCCACAATCACATTGGAGTTGCTGTAAGGCTGGCATGCAATTTCGCCTGCTTCGTCAGATATCCATCTGAATCCAATCCAAATACCGAAAGTCATTTAAGGATGGGCAGGTTTTAAAAATAAAATGCAACTTGAATTTTCTAACCCGTTCGGTTTTTTTTTTTTTTTCGAAAATTTAGCCAATATTTTCTTTTTTTTTGTTGTTGAAATTTATTTTACCGGAGCCCAAAAATAAAGAAACAAAAAGAACCCAATTGCGGTAAAGACATGGAAATGTGTCCTCTCGTTCGTTCCAAATTTATCCAGAGCTTGTTAGAGATATATTGGATTAATTCAAGGCAATAAAAAAATATATATGCTTTATTATTCTTTTGAAAATTTGTTTGGATACTATATGTTTGTGTGTTGGTTTATTATAATTAATTATATATACTGTGGCAGGTTTCGCCTCTGAAATGAATTTGTGATTTGCAGTTTTCTTCAAATTAAAATTTTTAATTGACGCATGTTTCAAGCAACTTGACTCATTTGGGATCCTTTTCGATATCAGGCAATACAATTCTCCTGGAAGTCCTCTTGTTGTTTTTTCATCTTTCACTGTTCTAAGCGTCTTCTGCGTTCATGGACCAATCTTTTCAATTTGGAACTTGACAGGTTGAAATTGGATTAGGTGTGCTTCTGCACTAATTAACTTAACATTCTCGAGGCACTTCCGATGGATTTGGATTTGATAGGATAAACCTTTTTGCTCATGGATCTTGGCTGCGGCAACCACTGATAAGGTCAATTTTCTTGGAAGTCAGATCCCTGTCATTTCTAGCGTTCAATATTAGCGTTCAATATTTGGACTCATATCATCAGTTTTCTCGAAAAGAAATGGAAAACCTGTTTGATAACCCAACTCCAGTTTATTCTGGAATTGGGAAATGTGTTGTTGAGACTGACACATGTTTAGTACATTCTCAAGGTGGAGAATCCTGCACAAGAAAATTTTTGATAGAACCATATTGTTCTGTCAAAGAAAGATTAATTTTAGCTATTGACTACTTAAAAGAAGATGTGGAAGATAGTGATGTGCTTATTCAAATATGGGTGCCTACAAAAATAGCAGCTCAAAATGTGCTTACTACTACTGACCAGCCTTATTCTCTTAATCCGAGTTGCCTAGAGTTTGGCGAGTTACAGAAATGTTTCGAAAGCATTTCATCTCCCACAGCTTGAGGAGGACTCAAAAAGAGTCAAGCTGAGTTGCCGGCTGGACGAGTGTTTCCTGGAAGAAGTTTCCCTGAATGGACTCCTGATGTTAGATTGTTCAGGAATTGATGGTGTTAAAGTTACAGTTAAACAGCTCCCATTTGAAGTAAAAATTGAATTGCAAACAAGTGTTGTTGACAGTTTTTGGAGAAATCTTGTTAAAGTCTATTTAGATTTTGTTGAATCAAGAAGGTAGGTGAAACTACCTTTGCTTTTATGGTAGGTTTGGTTGAACAAAACCTCCTTGACATTATGGAAGGTGGTTGAACAAACCTTTTAGACTAGCGTCTACTATAAATGTTACATTATGGTGTAATGTAAAATAAGAAGTGAATATTTGTTTCTTCACAACCTTAAAAAAATTCGCAGGCTTTTGTTTTTCATTTTCTGCAGTAATTTCCTCTCTTCCCTTAATTTTCTGCTCTTCTAAAACCAACCAAAGTGGTTGATTCAAAGCAACCAATGAACCTTGATCTCAAAGGGCTGTGTGTGTGTATTTGAGTGAAAATCATAGTGAAAGCCACCAAATAAACCAGAATTTGTGAAGTTTTTTGTTTATTTGCTTTTCCTCAAATGGCTTCCAGCAACATGTCTCTTTCACCACCTCATTTTAATGGGGAAAACTATCATGTTTGGGCTAAGAAGATGAGAGCTTATTTTAAAGGGCTTGCATTATGGCAGTATGTGGAGGAAAACAGAGTACCTCCACCTCTTAATCAAAATCTAACCCTTCAGCAGATTAGACAACATGAAGAAGAGGTTGCCAATGCTCCAAAAGCTCTGTCCTATATCCATGCAGCTCTGTTGCAGAATCTATCTTCACCAAGATTATGACATGTGGCAGACAGCACATGAAGTTGGAGAGAATTAAAAAATTGAGTATCATTGGATCTGAAAAAACTAGACCAGATGCAGATAATTCATTAAGAAAAGAATTTGAAATAGCTTGAAAATGAAGAAAATGGAAAAGTGAAAGATTATGTTGATAGAAGTTTATTGAAAATTGTAAAACCAAATTCGATTGTTGCGGAGAAGAGTTAGAGAGAGAGGAATTGTGGAGAAAGTTTAATTGGTGACTTCTCCCCTAAAAAGATTTTGAAAGCCAAGATTTCTTCTCTTGAAGAGACTTGGAAAACATGCTCACAAAGTATCCTGAATGTTGCTTTCAAATGCTCTACAAGCTGTAGAACAAAGAAAAAGCCTTATAGGGAAGAAGAAACCTTTAGAGAGGAAGGCTCTTGTAGTGACTCAACAACAAAAATTGAAGAACAATTTCAGAAAAAAAAATTGGAGGAAAGATAGATTCCACAATTCCACATTGCCCAAAAAAACCCAAAACCACACTGAGAACTACTGCCTGTGTCAGACCTGAGAAGCTCAATGTAAGGCTTTTAAGCAATTTGGTCACACCGAGGAAAGTTTGTTTCTTACAAACCAGAATCAACAAAACACAAGGCCCCATCATGCCACAAGTCACCGAAAAAAATTCTTGAAAATATGAAGAACAAAACTATTTGCTGGCCAAAAAGAAATCGAAAAATGTGATTGTTTCAATTGAAGCTAAAGAAGCATGCTTGTTGATATTGGCCTGCACTAAAACCACATGACACCAAACTTGGTGAATTTCGATTAGCTTGGATACAAACTATTCTTCAAAAGTCAGACTTGGAGATGCGTAGGCTTGTTGACGTCAAAGGCAAAAGGAGATGTGATTTGTACAAAACTCCTTCAGGTACAAAGCTTGTTTCCGATGTTCTTACGTTACCGGAACTAATCAAAGCTTTGTTTTTCGGTGGTAACAATTGCTGGATAAGAATTATAGTTTGCTATTTTTAAAGATAAAACTTGTGAAAATAAGTGACATTTTGCTCAAAGTTATTGCTGTCAAATATGAAGACGAAGAAAGCTTCCTCGGAAACTTAAGAATAGATTCGAATAAGCGAATCTTGCTGAGTCATAAAGAGAATCTATTTGTGGCATAAAACCTTGGTTCACACCAAAATTTCTCAATTCATTAAAATTGCTACCAATTCCAAGAAGTTAGTTGCTGATTTTGCCGATATGTAGTTGAAAACAACAATGAAATCCAAAGCCTTACAGAATTTGAATCCTGTTACTAAAACAGGTGTATGTCAGCAGGAGTGTCAAACTTCGATGAGAAAAAAGGTGAATGGATTGAGTAAAATGGAACCAGAAAATTCTAAAATCAATTCTTATTTTCAGCCAAAGAAGCCAAGAACTTCCAGTTGATAATGAAAGATGATTATGCAATTTAGAGGGACTAGATCCCCTAGAGAAAATTTACAGCAGATTGTAATGATTTCTCACTTTGAACCAAACTTCAGGTGGATTGAAAACCTTAAAATTGCCTGAGTGGAGAAAGCTCCCATGGATGAGGAGTTGAAGATGATTATGAATTTTCAGCAAAGAAAATCCAAACTAAAAATACTTCTGTGACAACAAATCAGCTGTGACTATGTTAAGGATCCAAATCTTCCATAGAAAAACCAAACATACAAAAAATTCAAGTTAACCATGCAATCATGAAGCTGAAAAGGAAAATAAAATTTCAAGATTGTTTTCATTGCAGGTTCGGAAGGACCATAGGCAAGCAGATATTTTCACCCAAGGCATTGCAAAAAAAATCAAAGATTTGAATTTCTTAGGAATAGACTTTGATGTTTGGTTCAACTCTTGCATTCAAGGGAAGAGTTGTTAAAAGTTACAGTTACAGCTTCCATTGAAGTAAAATGATTGCAAGTGTGTTGACAGTTTTTGGAGAAATCTGGTTGTTTAAAGTTCATTTAAGATTTTGTTGTATTTTTTGTTGAAAGTCAAGAGTAGGTGAACTTTTACCTTGCTTTTAGGTAGGTTTGGTGAACAAACCTTCCTTGACTTTATGGAAGGTTGGTGCACAAAACTTTTTAGGGGACTAGCCTTCTTACTATAAATGTTTTAACCCCCATTATTGCTTGTTAAATTGGTAAAAATAAAGAAGTTTGAATATTTGTTTCTTCACAACCTTTAAAAAAAAAATTCTGGCCAGAAAAGCTTTTTTTTTTTTTTTTTTTTTTTTTTTCATTTTTCTTTTTTTTTGAAATTCTTTTTTTCTCTTTTTTTTT